CTCGTGGTAATTGCGCCACTGGTCGAAGGTGTACCTGACGAAGACGCTCTTGTGGAAATCGAGGCTGAGCACGCGCACCACCCCCCGCACGCTCAGATCGTCGCCCACTTCGATGTTCTCCACGACCACCCGCTGCTGCCGCACGCGCTCCAGGAAGTCGGCCTGCGAGCCCGGCTGCTGAAACAGGGGCGTGAGGACGCGCGAGGGCACGATGTTCTGCGCGAACGAAGACTTGGCCGCCTCCGCCGCCTCGCGCTCCAACTCGAGATCCCAGAAGGCGGAGCGCGGGACGTGCGGGACGCCCGCGAGGAAAGTCCTGACGGCAGCTAAATCAAGGCCCAGCATGTCTGCGAAGCGCACGATTTTCTTGCGCCCAGGTGTCCCCGGTGGCGTCTTGCCGCACTTCAGGGAGGAGGACCGCTTGATCCGCAGCTTGAAGTCTTCTACTCGGGCTGGGTCCGTTTCCTCCGAGGAGGAGCGCTCGCCAGCTAGGGCATCCTCTTCCACCTCTTCGTCGCCCACTCCATCATCCACATCTTCCACCTCAAGTTGTGACAGCTGAGCGGCCAGCTCCTCGCCGCCATCGTTCACCTCGGACGAGGCGGTCGAGGACTTGCTGGACTTGGGCGACTCGCAGAAGCAGCTGTCTTCGTAGGTGATGCTCGTGGGGGAGATTCTGTCCTCGATGTCGTCTGACAGCCGTCGAACGCGCTCCGTGTATCCGCGGATGTTGCGGAACTTTCCCGTGAGAATCACCTCCTCGTCAATGTCCTCCTCATTCTCTTCGTCGTCGCTCTCCTCATCTTCCCCGAGAGTCTCAATCTCTTCCGTGTCAGCGTCCATACAAAACAACTCGTCTCTCCCCTCAGCTTCCCCTCGTGACTCCATGACGGCGGGCTGTCCTTCAGAGGGCGTGTAGAGGTGAGGGTCGGCGAGCGGGGGTGTCGTGCCAGAAATAGCCTGGGGGACACTGGCAGTTTCTGAGGCGGTTTGCAGGATTATTTTCCCTTCAGTGTCAGTATCTGCTTTGTGTTCTAGATCACCATCACTGCACACGGTTTCACCTTCACCACTGAACTGTGTCACTGTAACCTCCGCAAAGTACACGGCGTTCCCTTCCCCGTCGCCCAACACATCTTTGCCCTGATCTCTCTTGCCCTTGTCCCATCCCTTATCCTTGATCATTACCGCCTCACTATGTCTATACATATCACTCCTTGCATCATATCTGTCCCATCCAGCACCATCACTGTCGCCACTGCTTATGTTTGTTTTGTCCACCGCGCGTTGATCAGCTGGTGGATGTGGCACTGCCGGCAGAGTGCTCGACCCGGGGTGGCACCAACGTGGGTCTGTGTTGGCTACTGGCGATGTTCCTTGCATTGATAGCGAGACGTAACTGTCTCCAGGCATAGCAGCGCCCTCTGGGATCTCATCTGCACACGATTCTTCTGGCTCTCCCCACGTGTGAGTTACTATGTAATGGGTCTCCAGGTGCCCCGAGGGACACCCACACTCGCCCTCGTCATCGAAGCGGCACGCCCCACACACGCACTTTTCTGTGCCGTTTGCACTGTGGTATCTGCTGGAATCATCACACATGGCTTTGGCATCTGTCTCTGCCATCCTGTCCGTCGGCGAGAGTACGTCCGTCAGGGAGGCGGACGTCAGTATTTGCCTCATGACGCGGAGTTCGGCCTCCGAGGTGCACATGTTGGCCTCCGGCGAGCGAGTGTGTTCCTCTTGGTCCTTTCGCTTCTCTTCGCCCTCGTCCTCGCACTCGTCGTCAAACATAACAGGCGAAGTGACGGACGTAGCGCATCCGCTCTCGGGTCTCTCGTATCTTTTTATCACGTTATCGCATTCCTTTTCCTCATCCTCAGGTGCGTCTTCCGGGCTGGCAAGGTCGAAGTCATAATAGACGTCCGAGTCCTGCTCAGCCACGTTGGGCAATGCGGGCGGCGACGGGAGGCAGAGGCGTAGGGAGGGCTCTGACGTCACCACGTGAATGGGGCGGAGGTTCGGGTCGTCCACCGGGTCCAACTGGGGGTCGTCCAGCGAGGCATGGCGGCACTCCATGGACGCATAGTGGTCCTCCGGGCCCGGCGTCACCAAGGACGTCTGCTCGAGGGCCACCGAGCCTCCTGACCCCACGCGAAGGCTTGTTTGCAGGCGGCGAGCGAGGCCCTCCGCCCGGGCCCGGCAGTTCATGGCGAGAAGAGAGGACAGACTGCATGGTAGAGGCCAACCGACCTCGGTAACCCCAGGTTTGGCCCCGCCCTTTATCTCAGCCGCCACGCCTTCTTGCATTGCGTCACCCATGTTGTCTCCCGCAGAGGATGACGTCACCGTATACTGCCACCAGCATCGTGATAGACCTATGAGCGCGTAGGCGGCGGTCGTAGGGGCATCGCACCAGATGGCAACGGCGTTACAGCAGTGTGCAACGACGGAGGTAGACGGGGCACGCTCTCGCTCCTCCTGCTCTGGCTCCACCCTG